AAGTGCCGTTATAGCCAAGCATAACACAGACTTGAAGAATATGAAAAAAATTCAACGAGTATGGTATAAAGCGGGAAATCACCATAGAATATGACAATTACTGAGGGTCATCAAATACAGATATATATACACACACCATGCAATGACTCGTATCCCGAAGAACAGCGACACCAGTTCTATGATCAACTGAGTGACCTTTTAAACACCGTGGATGACAAAGATAATGTGACAATGATGGGGAACTTTAACGGCAGAGTGGAAACAAGGAGAACGACGTGGGAGAGATACATGCGGCCACACAGTGACAGGGAAACAGATCAAAACAGCAATGGAGAAATGCTATTACAGTTGTGTGCAGAACATGAGCTCGTCATATCAAATACCTTCTTCCAACACAAAATGAGTGAAGTTAAAACTTGGTACAAATGCAATGATCTAAAGATAGCATCACAAATTGATTTTATCCTAGCCAAAAGATCGAAACTGAGAAAAATAAGAGACTCAAGAGTGGTTCCCATCTACATCACAGACACTGACCACAGACCAGTCATCATGACTATTGACACACCAAACAGGAAAAGGCTAGAAGCAAAGAAACGATGAGAAGTCGTAAATCTCAGAAATATAAATGACAATAACAAGGATAAGATACATGAACGTTTGAAAGATGTAATTCACAAATTTCCCCCAAAATTGGGAGACATGGAAGAGGAATGGAGCCACTTCAAAGCATGTGTGTACAGAGCATTAAAAGAAGAGTTCGGCACCAGGAAAACAAGAGAGCAGAAAAAGAAAACAACTATATGGTGGAATGACCAAGTGAAGTCCAACTGAAGAAAAAGGCATTCAAAAAGTGGTAGAAATCAAAGACAGAGGAAGATTACATCCTATACAGAAAGGACCGCCGCTAAACATCAAGGGTAGTAAAAGAAGCTAAGAACAGATCCTTGATATGGAGAACAGCTGGTAACAAAATGTAAAGAAAACCCTTGAGAGTTTTACTAGAGAGTTAAAAAAGCATGAAGATGCGGGAAGAACTATTCAACCAAACTGAAATAGTCAATGATGAGCACGGAAAACCCTATTTTCAGAAAGCCAAAGATTAAGGAAAGATAGAAACGCTATTTCCAGGAACTGCTGAATCCTACAGCAGAAACAACAGCACACAGCTTCTCACCGAAAGAAACCACTCCAGAACCATCACTACTGCAGAGTGAAACCCAACATGTTATAAAGAATAGCCCCACAAACATAGCGATAGGCGTTGAAAACATCACAGCAGAAGAGATCAAACTATACGGCCATATCGGAGAACTCTGGTTAATGTTATGGAGGATATTTAACCTGGCCTGGGCGACAAAAACAACACAGAGCCTACAGAGGAATATCCCTTCTCAGCCGTGTGGATATAACGTTTGCCAAGATACTGGAAATGAGAATGAGAACAATTGTAGAGACTCAACTTAATGAATCCCAGTTTGGCTTCAGAAAAGGCAAGGGCGGAACTGACGGTTTTTTGCATTCGGACAGTTGTGTGAGACTGCCATTGGACATGACAAGACCTCAATATCGTCTTCGTGGACCAAGAAAGGCATTCGACAGGGTAAATAGATGTCAACTTTGGGAAGTCTTAGAGGTTTTAGTAGCGGTTTTACGGCACCCGCAACTGCATAAGGTCACATGAGACCCAAGGGTGGATGTCAACAGAGAAGTCCTTACAGGGAATCAAACTTACTCTGCTCACCTTTCTACAGCACAAAGTCAGCTTAGACTATCGAGGCACCCCGGAAACAGCCAGTCACAAGAGTGTGACAAACATACAAAAGAAGTAGAGGAAAATGACGATAGTAAGGATTACGAAAGAAAAAGGCGCAGTTCCCTGTTGTAGTTCAGGCATAGTTATGAGCATGCCATTGTTCGATCCGCCCATTTACAATTCTACTGTGCATTAGAACGTCCCCTGTTTTGGAATGGCATAAAGACACTTCAGTCGGTGGCATCACCCCCGGGGGGGGGGGGGGGGTAGTCTTAGAGTAATATGGTGTTAAAGGACAATTGCTCAAGAACATCATGGCACTTTATAAAAACAGCCTGTGTGCCGAAAGGTCAACAGAAGGACTTTCGGACTGTTTATGAGGAATGTAAACACCTAAACATGATAATCTTCATTTCAAAAACAGAAGTTATGAAGGCAAGAAAAAACCCAGGGAAACTCAACATCCTTGTTGACAAGTAGAAGAATTTAAATATTTGGGAAGCATCTTCTCACTAGATGGGTGTATGGACAAAGAAAAAGAACTGTGAAGGCAAATGCAGTGACCTACCAGCTAGCACCCCTTCTCAGTCACAAGAACATCCCAACTAAAGTGACATCCCCAGCTCATCAATAGAATCTTCATACCAACATTAACATACCAGTGCCAAACATGGTCTCTAAACAAGGCATGAGAAGGGAACATCAATGCCTGCGAAATTAGATGTTTCTGCAAAACCACCAACGTCACCAGAGGAGACCGCATAAGGAACGAGACCATACGTCTACCAGTAGTAAATTTATTAGAGCGTCAAAGAGTCAAATGGTTCGGACATCTAACCAGAATGCCCCTGAAACAACTAGCGGCTAGAGCTTACCACACCCGCGAATCCGGCTTTAAATCAAGAGGAAGACAAAGAAAGACCTGACTGGATGGGGTTAAAAAGGCCCTGGAACAATATAACTAATTAGCTTACATCTATCACAGACGCCGAAACCTGCACCTCCCCTCGACATCCGAAGGAAACCAGAGGAAGGAAAAAGTAAAAAAATAAAGTAAGAACTGAGGAGCAAAACTGCTCACTTTGTTGCAACTGGCATCTTTCTTCAGGGTTGTTTCATCAGTGGAAAAGAGTAATAGGCTTACACAGTTAATACCGTGAGTGGTGGAAGGATGGCGGCGGTTGCGATTATAAGACAAATAAGACAAGAAGGATTATATACAATAGAGAAAATGTATAAAGTTGAAGAGCAGGTAAAATGGGATGGAGAAGAAAAGAGAGGTACGTTTATGAAAATAAGAGGGGAGTGGGGAACACACGAAACCACACACACACACACACACACACACACACACACACACACACACACACACACACACACACACACACAGAGAGAGAGAGAGAGAGAGAGAGAGAGAGAGACAGAGAGAGAGAGAGAGAGAGAGAGAGAGAGAAAGGGGGGGGGGGGGCTGGGGGCATGCAGTGGATCCCACAATCCAGTACATAGGGCCTAGCATTTTTCTTTCTTGTTCATACGACAGAAAAGAAAGAAAATCTGTATTTGTACTAACAATAGACCTGAGAAACTTTATCAAGCAAATAATTGCATCAGATACTTTAATAGGCGTCCCAATTTAATTTCTGACTGTGTTATCAACACGAATCCGGACTCTTCATACATGTACTAGATTTAGGCCCTAGGCCCACTCAATGAAATGCTTTGGGCAGGGAAAAAAAGGGGGGGGGGGGAGCTCAGTGAAAAGTAAATACTTGGGTCTAAAAAGTCTCGTTTTCTTTATACTATCGAATGAACTAGGCACAATGTGAGGTCAGAGATTATAAAACATTACCAAAATTGATAAACTTTTTGAACTAAAGCTTAAAAATCTCTTAGCGATGTATTTCCCTGTCTCGTACATTTCAAACAACGAAGAGAGGGAGCCAAAAGCTCAAGGCGAAAATGCGTGACGTCACGACTCTGCGCGATGTCACGGTGGAAGGGTTCAGCTAGGTTTTCGCGGATTTGGTTGATAAAAGGGTAAGACTACACTAGCCAAGGTAAGACTTCTACGATAACCATTTAAACGTTTTCTGGAAGAACAAAAAAT